TCATTTTTTTGCATGTGGAGGTATAGTGCTGCTAATTGTCCATGTTCCACTGAATAGTCTTTGCTCCTTTGTCAAAGATTAGTTGTCCATATAAGTGTGGTTTTATTTCTGGGCTCTCTATTCGGTTCCATTGGTCTGTGTGTCTGTTTTTGTTCCAATACCAAACTGTTTTAATTATTATGGCTTTTTAGTATAGCTTGAAGTTTGGAAGTGTGACACCTCCTTTATCCATTGTTTTCATCAGTAGGGCTTTGGCTATTCATGGTTTTTTGTGGTTCCATATGAATTTCATCAGTATTTGTTCTATTTCTTTGAAGAATGTCATTGAGATTTTTATTGGAATAGCAGTGAATATGTATATTGCTTTTGGGAAGATGGCCATTTTAATAATGTTGATTCTTCCAATCCATGATCAGGGGATGTCTTTCCATTTCTTTGTGTCGTCTTCAATTTCTTTTAACCGTGTTTTATAATTTTCTTTGTATAGGTCTTTCACCTCTTTTGTCAGGTGTATTTCCAAATATTTGATTTTTTTTTGTTTCAGTTATAAAAGGGATGGTTTTCTTGATTTCATCTTCTTCTGATTGAATGTTTGTGTATAGGAAGACTACTGATTTTTGCGTGTTAATTTTGTATCCTGCTACTTTACTGAACTGGTTGATTATTTTGAGTAGATTTTCTGAGGAGTTTTTAGGGTTCTCTATGTATATTATCATATTTTCTGCAAATAGTGATAGTTTGACTTCTTCCTTTCCTATTTGGATTCCTTGTATGTCTTTCTCTTGTTTTATTGCCCTGACTAGGACCTCCAGTATTACATTGAAGAGCAGTGGTGAGAGAGGACATCCTTGTTTTGTCCCTGATCTTAGAGGAAAGGCCTTCAGCTTTTCACCATTGAGAATAATATTGACAGTGGGTTTATCGCATATGGCTTTTATCATGTTAAGGTATGTTCCTTCTATCCCGAGAACTTCAAGGGCCTTCATCATAAATCATGTTGGACCTGCCCAATGCTTTATCAGCATCTATTTATATGATCATATGTTTTTTTTTTTCTTTTTGTTGATGTGTTGGATTACACTTACTGATTTTTGTATGTTGAACCATCCTTGTGCCCCTGGGATGAATCCCATTTGATCATAGTGTACTGTCCCTTTGATGCATTGTTGGATTCTGTTGGCAAGGATGTTGTTGAGGATTTTTGCATCAGTGTTCATTAGGGAGATTGGCCTGTAATTTTCTTTTTTTTGTGTGCTGTCTTTGTTTGGTTTTAGTATTAGTGTAACATTGGCTTTGTAGAACGTATTTGGTAGTATTCCTTCTTTTTCAATTTTTTGAAAGAGTATGTGTAGGACAGGCAGTAATTCACTGCTGAACGTTTGGTAGAATTCATTTGTGAAGCCATCTGGGCCTGGCCTTTTTTTTTTTGGAGAGCGCTTTGATTACTGCCTCAATTTTTCTACTTGTAATTGGTCTGTTTAGTTGTTCTATTTCTTCTTTGTCCAGCTTTGGATGATTATATCGTTCTAGGAATTTGTCCATCTCTTCTAGGTTGTTGATTTTTTTGCATATAGGTGTTCATAGTAATCTCTGATTATTCTTTTGATTTCTACTGAGACTGTGGTGATATTTCCTCGTTCATTTGTAATCCTATTTATATGGGTTTTCTCTCATTTTTTTCTTTGTGAGCCTGGCTAGAGGTTTGTCTATTTTGGTTTATTGTTTCAAAGAACCAACTTTTGGTTTCATTGATCTTTTGGATTGTTTTTTTAATCCCCAATTTGTTTATTTCTGCTTTGATTTTTATTATTTCCTTTCACCTACTGGCTGTAGGGTTTTTTGTTGTTCTTTTTCTCGCTCTTTGAGATGTGAGATTTGGTTGTTTCTTTGAGTTCTTTCTTGTTTGTTGATGTGAGCCTGTATTGCTAAATATTTTCCTCTTATTACTGCTTTTGCTCCATCCCATAAATTCTGGAAAGTGATATCCTCCTTGTCATTCAACTCAAAGTATTTTTTAATCTCTTCCTTGATCCCCTCATTAGTCCAGTGTTCTTCCAGTAGTGTGGATTTCAATGTCCATGAAGTGGGAGGGTTCCTTGTTTTCCTTTCATTATTTATTTCTAGCTTGATGCCTTTATGATTGGAGAAGATAGTTGGAATGATTTTGATCCTCATATATCTGTAGATGTTTTTCTTGAGGCCCAGTATGTGATCGATTCTGGAGAATGATCCATGTGCACTTGAGAAAAATATGTACCCGTATTTTTTTGGGTGCAGTGTCCTATAGATGTCTGTTAAGTCCATGAGTTCTATGTATTTATTTAGGGCTCTAGTGATTTTGTTTATTTTTTGTCTGTTTATTCGTTGATCTGTCCATCAGTGAGAGTGGTGTGTTGAAGTCTCCCAGTATATATGTATTTTCTTTAATGTCTGTTTTCAGAGCTGGTAATAATTATCTAATATATTTTGGTGCCCCTTCATTTGGTGAGTATATGTGGACAAGTGTTGTATCTTCCTGATGTATTGTCCCCTTGATCATAATGTAGTGTCCATCTATGTCTCTTTATACCTCTTTTAATTTGAAGTCTATTTCATCGGATATAAGTATAGCTCTTCCTGCCTTCTTTTTTGGTCATTTTGTTTGCCAGATTGTTTCCAACCTTTTACTTTCCATCTATGTTTACATTTTGTGGCTAAATGTGTTTCCTGGAGACAGCAGAAGGTTGGATTTTGTTTTTGCATCCAGCCTGCTACTTCGTGTCTTTTTATTGATGAGTTTAATCCATTCACATTTAGAGTTAATATTGGTATGTTGGCATCTGTGTTTTTCATTTTGATTGTCTTTTTTGTGATTTTATTCCTTGCTTTATACTGTTCTTCTTGTTTATCCCTCTGTTGGTTTTGGCTTTAGGACTTCTTGTAGAATTTTTTGGAGTGGGGGGTTTAGTTGTAATGACTTTCTGGAATTTCTGTTTGTCTGAGAAGGTCCATATTTTTTTCTTTATAGAGGAAGGAGAGCTTTGCAGGATAAAGTATTCTTGGTTGGCATTTGCTGCCTTGATGTTTCTTCTTGCCCATAATTTTTTTCAGAGAAGTCTGAAGTTAACTTGATTGGTTTTCCCTTATAAGTTATCTGGTTCTTCCCCCTTTCCAGTTTCATTATTTTTTCATTATCTTGGACTCTTGTAATCTTTACTATTAGGTGTCTTGCTGTAGTTTTCTTCTCATTGTGGTAATTGAGAGTTCTTCTCACTTCTTGTATGTCTATATTCATCTCCTTTTTCATGCTTGGGAAGTTTTCTTCAATTATCTTCTTGAATAATTTCTCAGTTCCTTTGTCTTTCTCCTCACCTTCCAGAATGCTTATGACTCTTACATTTCCTCTCTTCATGGAGCCTGATAATTGTCTAAGAGTCTCCTCATACTGCTTCATTTGCACTTCTCTCTCCTTTTCTCTTTTGGCTCTTTTTATTTCTGTATCTTCAATACCACTGATCTGTTCTTCCATTTCATTGATTCTGTTTTCATTGCTTTCCCCAGAGTTCTTTAGCTCCTCTAGTAATCTTTTAATCTCCTGTGTTTCTTTTCTTTCCATTCTTAATGTCTCAATTTCATTCTTCAGTTCAGTGATTATTTGTCTCAAATCATTTTTTTCCTTTTGGTTTTCTTTCTGCTTTTTAATCATGATGATCATTAATTCTCTATCTAATAGGCCGAGTTCTTCCATGTCATTGTTGAGCTCTGGTGACCTTATTTCTTTTTGTGGTGTGTTCTCTTGCGGCCTTACTTGGTTATTGTTATGTTTTCTTCTCCCTGTTGTTAGCTTTCTAATTAGTTCTATGTGTTGGGACATTGTACCACTGGTTTTGGCAGGCGTCGCTCTGGAGTGCTCCTTTAGGGGTTCTGGAAACTGTTTACCAGACAGAGACCAGCACTGGTAGGCCTAAACTCCACCAGGGTGTTGATGGTGTGTTGCTGGGCACTGTCACTTACAGTTCCCTCTCTCTGTATTTACTGTTCCAACAAGGAATCAACTAGTTGGTGATTTTGTTCTGGTCACAAGGTGGCGCCAGAGATCCGTACTTGCTGACCTGTGCTTTTTCCCGGTGGTTCTCTGAGAAATGGAGGGAGGGGGTTACCAAGGTGAGCACCTCAACAAAGGGGCTCTTATTCAAGCTGGGTGCTGCGTCGGCTCCGTGTTCACCGGTGCTGTGCCCACAGGTTTCTGTATTCCATGTCCTGACTTCTGCACTCTAGGTCTCAGTTGCAGGGCTATCAGATCCAAAATGCTGGCTGTCCACCCTGTGCAGTTCCCGCTGTTATGGCACATCCCATGCCCCGGATCCTGCGGCTGGCTCTCAGGTTTAGGATGGGGTCTTGCTCCATGCCTTATTTCTCTCCTTACCCCGGTTTGTGCTGCCCACCCTCTCTCGGAGCCTGAGGGTGTTTTTGGGATCCCTGGTTTCCAACTATCAGGATGTTGATGTTTTTTTTTTTTTTTTTCTGGTCATTAGGTGGCGCCAGAGATCTTTTCTAGTGTCCTTCCAGAACTGTCTTTTCCCCCATGGGCCCAGGGGAACAGAGTCGGAGTGGTGTGGAGCGCCTCAAAGGCATGGGGTTGCTGGGTCTGTCCTGTGTCCCACTGTCGTGAAGATCCTGCACCCCGAATTTTGTGCTCTCAGTTCCGAAGCTCTTAGATCCAGGATGCCGGCTGCAGCCCAGTTCAGTGTCCACAGAAATGGCACCTTTTGCACCCTGCTCCTTGTCCAGGAGCCTGGTTTCTGATTACTCAGTGAAGGACATTCACCTCAATGAGGGCTCCTGCATATCTCCCCACAGGCGCTGGGACGTGGGCAGCTGGGATCTGCAATCTGTGTATGCTTTTCAAGTGCACTGCTTTTCCGCACAAGCTTACTGGCTGGTCTTGGGCTATTTGTAGGTCTCCACTGAGTCTTTATCTTCCTCTAATGATGCAAGAGCTGTTCACTCACCTCCGCAGTGATTCCTGCCCAGTTTTCCACAGTTCCAGTTCACAGGGTGAAATGCCTGAAATAGTTCCTTTCCACTCACAGTCCCGCTTGATGTGTTGTTTGTTCTTGTTGGTTGTTTTTGCTTGTTTGTTTGTTTTCCTCCTTTCTGTTGGACAGAGAGTGCTGACTTTGTGGGTGGGGGAGGGTAGCCAGTTTCTGAGCTTTCCTCCCTTCTTGTCCTCTTATGGCAACTTTCTTCTTGGTGAAGTTTGCCAGAGTCACCCATTTATCTTCCGCTTCCCAGTTCTCGCAGGGATCTGCCATTTTTCCTCCCTATTAACTTTTTTTTTTTTATTGGAGGACTTACAGCATTTCTCCTCTGCCATGTTGATCTCTCTCTGATGCATCCTTTGACATTGTGCAAATTCCACAAATTCCAAAAGCAGCTGTCTTCTGTTACATCATTCATTAAAGAGATTTGCAAAAATGAACGTAAGTTACATTATTTTACTATTTTTTTATTTTTCTATTTAAAATATTATGTATGTCAGTATGGGTTTTGTTATTGTTATTTTTAAATTATTTAATAATCATTTGAAACCAATTACCAGCTTCAATTTTCAGTTGGGTAAATATTTATAGATACAACCCTCACACACAAAAGCTCTCTGATATCCTCAACAACTTTTAAGACTGTGAAGGGGCAGGAAGTCCAAAGATTTGAGAAGTGCTGAGATCTGGAGTTGCTTCTCCATGAAATCTGAAATATAAATGTTTCTTTTTTAAAAGATTTGTTTTATTTATTTATGCACACAAGAACTGAGGTGTAGGCCAGTGGTGTGGAGGGTGAGAGGATTTACCAGAGACAGAGTGGGGAGCAGAACAGATGGATCTACTGAAATACACTGCTGAGGAGAGCAGCAGGTGAGTCAGGAGAGGTCTGCTGCACCATGTGGGTCAGCTCCCTGGCGAGGGATCGAACTAATGTTGCAGAGGCTGACAATAGCTTGATAGCACTGAGATCTTAACTCCTGAGCTGCCCGGAGGACCCCTAAAATATAAATATTTCCTATACCACCAATTATTCAATAGGAATTTTTTTTTTCATTTACCTTTCTGCAGATTGAGAAATTAATATTAAACTTGAAGTTAGACTCATAAAATTCAGACTAAGTTTATTGTGAGGCTCTTGACATTTTCTGACAAGATTTTATTGTTGATATCAATATATGCATTTTTGGTTTTTTTAATTGTTTTATTTTTATTAAGTTAATTGGTATTCAACACTGCACATGATTCAGAGGTACAGAGTCACACCTCTTCAGGTGTGTGTTTCCACACCACACCCCCACCATGGCATCTGTAGTCCTCCACCATTATCCATTGCTTTTTTTTTCCCTTTAATAGTTTATTTATTTATGCATACAAGAACTGGGGTACAGGCCAGAGATGCAGGGATTGAAAGGATTTGCCAGAGACAGAGGGGGAACAGAACAGGCCGACTGTGAAATACACTGCTGAGGGAAGCAGTGGGTAAGACAGGAGAGGTCTGCTGCACCATGTGGGTGGCTCCCTGGCCTTCCAGGGATTGAACTCCTGCTGCGCAGTGCTTCACAGTTCAGTGCTTAGCCCCTTGCACAACCAGGGAGGCCCCATCCATTGTTTTCTTAAGCACAATTAGCTTCTTTTCTCTTTGGAGGCTTTTGTTTTATACCCACAGCTCTTCTGGATCACATACACAGGTGCTTTCATCTACATATTACTGCACAGGAGGTGTTCCACGGATGAGAAGTACACACACAGCTCTGGCTCTACACCCCTTGATATGTCTTTTGAGTTATTTAAAAATCAGACTGATCACATTATAGAGTTATTACAATCCACTTTTGTGGATAGTTCAGTGCAAAAGGAAATTTCCTTCCCAGTATCTTAAAGTCACTGTGCAACCAGGAGTTCAAATGAGTACTTCATCTATCATCAGAGAAATTCTGATAATTATTGCAACCCAACCAAACTGTGAATTCACCTCTAAAAATAGCATTTTTGGTGGCTGTATTAGTTAAGATAAAACAATCCTTGCACATGTGTATGTTCAAGACTAATGAGGAGTGCCATCTGTAGAACAGGGATATTTTCACACTCCTCTCCAACTGCTTTCTCTTATAGTGAAATGCAAATTGCCTATAAAAGTCCTCAGGGTGGAGGAAGACACTTATCAAACAGACATTACACATGCATTCATAGACACTATGCAGCCTCAGACTCTATTTTAGATGCATGAAGGACCAAGAAACATAGGTGTAAACCTGTTCTGTGTGGCTCTCATAATTATGGCCTGAAGTAGCTATGTTGGTTAAGATATGTAGATTACTGCTCCCGCTAACTTTTGATCTAGTGCACACCTGCCTCCTATCCACAAAAATAAAATATTCACAACAGAAGAAAACAAAACAAAAAACCTTCTATGTAAGGTCTAGAAGACAACCCCAAATCACTATTAACCTAACTTTTACTAGTCAACTAAATTTTATATGTGACATGCTCAATATGATACACTTTTTGTTTATTCCTTGCTGGAAATTTGCACATTTCCCTGTGTGATAAATTGACTGTTGGTAATAGGTAATTCAAGTTCCACGGGGTTTATAAACTTGAACAATCCACAAAAATGTCCATCTAGGTATTCAGTGCTGCCCCATGGTGCATGATTAGCCAAGCAGGAAAATAAAAAATAAAATAAAAGAAAAGAATAGCAGGGCTTCCCTGATGGTGCAGCAGTTGAGCGCTGGGTTGCAAGGCTGTCCGCAGCTTCTGCCGCACCGGTTCGATCCCCAGCCACCGGCAAAGGTCCCACATGGTGCGCAGACCTCTCCTGCCACCCGCTGCTCCCCTCAGCAGTGTACTTCATCAGTCTGCATGTTCTGCTCCCTGCTCTGGCTCTGGTGAATTCTCTCACCCTCCCGTGCTTCTGACTGTACCCAGTGCTTGTATAAATAAATAAATAAATCTTTAAAAAAATTACATAAAAGTGCTTAGACTTCAATTTGTATGGGTAGTGGAAAAAGTCTACAAAGGTATTAGATTACATTTTACATTGACTGTAAAATATCATTGAAGATATTACAGTTAAAAAAAAATAGCTGAGGATGTTCTAAGAAAATAAATCTTGAAGACCAGTATTTAATATGTGACTCCTTTCATGTTTCCTATGATGTCTAACTTAAATATCTTAGGTAGAAAAATTAATTTTGGTATATTTTTACTAAATAAATGAATGGATATCTTAAAATGAATGAATATCTCAAAAAATAGATAGCTTATAAATAAAAACTGAAAAACAAAGAATGATTTATAAAAAAAAAAAATTGAATTCTGCTTTCTGAGGGAAATATGAATCACTATACCTCATCGTGAAATTTCATTTGTTTTCAGAGGACCATTTCTAATATGTGAATTTGCATACCAGTAAGCTAACTTTTTCTATAGTCCTTACCCTGATATTCAAGTCCCTGTTCTATCAGAGAATCAATTAAGGATCACTTTCTGTTAAGTTAATTAATATAATCAGTAAATCCAAATGCATCAAAATGAAGCTTATTTTGCAAACATGCAAAACGTTCTGCCTCATTGCCCCACCACCAAGATTAAATGACATTTTGCTAACAACTTTTTCAAAGTTGAGTCCAAATTTCCTTTTTTTCAAAAAGAGCACCAAAAGTAACATGGTGGTGTCAGTCAATGGTCAAAAAGACTCGTTATTGGAAGAAGTGATGATCTGTGTGGGCCCCCAGCTAACACTCAAACACATTGGCACTTACCCAAAGTTAGATCACTTGCTTCTTAAAAACACATTATGAACAAGCAATGGCATAATGTTACAATATATGTTCATTTCTACCTCACCTCAGCCAATGAAGATTTGAGACAGTTTAAAAACATTCATGTAGCATTTTCATTTTGGTTATATTCCCCGTACAAATGCATACACTGTGCAAAAAATGAAAAATGATGTAAGAATTATATAAAATAAAATAAGATAATAAAAATTCATGTAGAAAGATTAATAAAAGTGAGAATATCTGAAGACAGAAAGTCTCTCCACAGTAAGTCTCAGTAAACATGTACAGATCAAATTAATATGTTAGGATTTTGACTTTTAATGCTAAGTCTCCTCACCTGGCTGCATTTGCCTCAATCGGTCTTCCTCATAGTTGAGTCTTCCAGATTAATTCACATTTTAGTGTTGGCCCACCTGGGAATCCTTTCAGGAGGAGATGAACAAACTCAAACAGTTCACCTTAATAAGGCATCCCATCCTGGCCCTTGAAAGTGCCTGACTCCTCATCATTCTTCAGGCATCCCAGACCTTGAAGGCCACCCCAAAGCACATCAAACACACCCTCATTCATTGTAAACTATTATGGTTTCTTTGGGGTTCTGTTTCTCTGGAGTATCTCCTATATAGATAATTTGACCAGAGAAGCCAAAATTTACCTAAGAAATGTTGATAACAGATCTGTCCATCCATCTATGTGGCATTGCATATTAGTAATCAAGGAATCATTTTATAGTAAACACAAATGGTTCCATTTTCTCCAAATCTGAGATATACTGACCATATGCCCCAACAAGATAAATTATCTTATTCTCTTTGCAAGCCAGAGAAAGCATTGTTGAGAACAGATAGCAACGTGAAAAGCATGACTACATTTCTCTCCTACTAACACCTAAATAATAATAGTAATAACAATAACCAAAGCAGGGAAAGACCAATCCATAGCAAAACCTCAAAGGGCAAAGTAATAAAAGAACCAGAAAGTTCTTTTTTTTTAAGATTTATTTATACACGAATCGGGGTACAGGCTAGATGCGATGTAGCGGAAGGGCAGGGGTGAGGGTGTGAGAGGATTCACCAGAGACAGAATGGGCAACAAAACAGGCATACTGACGAAATACACTGCTGAGGGGAGCAGCTGGCGAGGCAGGAGAGGTCTGCTGCGCCATGTGGGACCCTTGCCGGCCAGGATTGAACCTGCACTGCTGAGGCTGCTGACAGCTTCACAGCGCTGCGCTCAACTGCCTGCGCCAACAGGGGAGGCCCAGAAGCAGAAAGTTCTAATTCAGTTTGAAAAGGATGGTTCTAGCTAAACCCATCTCCCCAAAATATTTAGAAAAAATGTATATACATATATACACACATACTACATTAATATATACTATATTTATATTATATATTTTATATATTACATATAAATATATCAATATATATTTATATATGATATGCATCAATATATCATATATTATTAATGCAATACATTGTGGATATATATATTATATAATATCATATAAATATATTATGTAAATATGATATATTTATATAAAATGATATAAATATATATTAACATATTAAGCATTTCTGGGAGATGGGTTTAGCTATAAATATATACTTTAAA